TACTGTACATAGAAAAGTGAACATATAAAACTGTATGATAACTTGACCTGTAATCTTACAGCCTTGCTTCCCCAAAAGATATCTATTTTTAGTTTTAAATCAGCCTGCCCAGTTTTGTTGCAAATCATTCAAGTTAATCAGTGTGTGTGTGTGTGTGTGTGTGTGTTAAATTTGGAACAATATGAAGACTTATATTTGCTTTGTGTAAAGTTCTTAAATGGAAATAGGAACGTTAATGTTATAAAAAATTCTGCGTAATGCTATTGAAAGACCATGTTTGTTAGTATGTTAGTTGACTAATGCGAAGAGAGAACCTGTCCCTAAACCTTTTGATATAGATGCCTGGAGTAATATCAACTTAGGCATATTTCATGACAATATCATGTCTGTCAGCATGATATTATTTTCTAATAATGGTCCAATATAATTTAGAATTTAAATAGTTTCATTCCATATAGGTCTGTTTTCGCTGTTCAGTATAGTAATGAAACATTTCAAGTATTCATAGCACAAGAAACTCTTGAAAAGATTTATAGAATTCACAAAAAAAAAAAAAAACCCACCCTCGGGAGATTTGCCATTTGGACAGTCCTTTATACCATTTTGAACTTCATCTGTCGATATTTCTGTTTCAAATAGAACTTTTTGTTCTCTATTCTGTGGAGGTTTTACTTTTTCCAAAAAGCCATGTATTCTAAACTATTAAAGTCTGTCACTGTGGAAATTCCTAAGGGTGCAAAACTTTGTTGATGTTGACAAATGTTTCTCTTACTGTAATTAATTCATTCTGTACAGTTGGGGGTATAATGGTTGGGGCATTAGTGGGATAGCATATTTTGAAAGCATACAGTTGGCTATCCTTCCAAAAAAATTTAAAAAAAACATTGGGCACATGAGAAAGCTGCTAGTGCCTAGAGATATGAAAATGTTGCCAAGTTGCACATGAATATCTTCAGCTTTAGCTTTTGTTTCTTGGGAAGTGTCAATGATCAGTTGTTGAAGAGATTTTAGCATCTTTTCCAGGATGATCTGTCGAGAGGGCTGCTTTGGTTTTCATCATTTAGGTAATGGCCTTCCTGTTATATTTGCTATAAATTATCTGGGGTGGGGGGTGTCCTCCAGTCAGTTATTTCAACCTCTGTATGTGTATCTGCAGTGATAAATTAAGAAGAGATTTCCTTTTTCTAGATTTTCAGAAAGGAATCTCCATATGGATAGCCAAATGCTGACATCCTGTGTTTTGTATAGAATGTTCGATAGGATGGATCCAGCATCATAACACAGGAATCATATTTTTGGAGGTTAAAAACCTGATTATTACATTTGGTTCAGTGGTGCTACTTCTACAGAAATATGAAAAATAAAGTTGCATCTTTATGCATTTGAAGTCAACTATGTATCTTTCCATCTTAATTGTTGAAAGAGAATTCATATTTTTAGACATGATTTGATTATAATTGGTCAGTGTTTCATTTTATAGTTTATTAGCTAATACTCAAAAACTATGCTGAATATTAAGGAACAAATTTATTAAGGAACAAATTCTGTTGAAATCAGAAGAACTTCTAAGCAGTTGGCCAAAGCTTTAAAAATCCTATGCAGGTTTATTGGATATTATTTGGAAGTAATAGCCAATTATTATTTATTCTAAGTAAATAAACATGTAGTTGCATTTGAGATCAATGGACAATGCATGATATTTGGAAAACAGAAAATTACTTGAAGAAACATGTTTTTGAAATCTGAGAATGATAAAGGAAAGTATATTGTTACAATCACAACTGAAATTTTACAAATTATTTCTGATGTCTTGCCCCTATCAAATAGACATTCAGTATTATTTGCTTGAGAATTTTATTTGTTACCTATTTTTTTAAATAGATAAAATGCATATTTTGCTGTGTATTTTGCAAGTTTTTGTTTAAAATAATGAAGAACATGATATTTCTTCAAATGCATAATTGTACGGACAACGTATTTTGACTGTCCTATATTTCTATGCATATGAGATGCCACTACCCAGTAACAAACTATTGAATAAGTATGGTTATAATAAAATATTTTGGATGAAAATCGTATACATAATTTTAACATGCCATGTCCTTAAGTTTATTATTTTGTGATGGCAGTTTTTGCCATTTATGTTGATCAAAAGGTAAGTCAAAAGGCATTAAATGCATTTTGTAGGAATATTTCCAGGTTCTGTCAAACACAAAATTAATATTTTTATAGAAATATGAAAGATCTGAAAAAAACAGTGGTTTAAAATAATAAATTAAATATGCAGTAGGCAAGTTATTATCTAATGTTTTTAACCATTATTGCGTAGAAATGGAAAATAAATGTTCTATAACTGAAATAAGTCTGTGCAAATATATTTTACAGATCCTTGGATAAATCTTGATACATAGACTTGGAAGTAGGAGAGTTGGAAAACATCATTGCTTGTGCCAGCCTTTTAGTACTATTTTCAGTCTTAATTCCAATTTCTAAGAAATAAGAGCTAGGTAACTATAGTTTTGTTTCAGTAAAAGCCAAGATTCTCTGGGATCCAGTGAGAATATGAAATGAGTATTCTGAAGACCATAGGGATCCTGCAAACTATATATTTTATTCACAGTTCTTTTATTATTTAGCTGAAATATTTCTCTGAGTTTTTAGATTTTAAAGTTTTTTTTTCAGCTACCCACTAAGAAAACCAGTTGTATTTTAGGCATGGTATATAATTAACCCATTAGTTGGAGTCAGCTAACTAGAAGGATGATTAGAGATGGTACTGACATAGCAATTTAAGGTCAAATCACAACTTCTCTTGAATCATGGGCCTCACCTTAAGAACTGTTAAGGCTAGTAATTTATATATTTTAATGTTTATATTATTATGCCTCAATGTACTGTATATCATTACAACAGTCAATGGCCATTTTTGCCTGGAGTTGATCAATTAGATTTCTGCTGAGATAGTTTGTCCATAATAAAGAGGCCACTTTGAGACTTGAGATCTTACATGGAAATGGAACCTTAACATTTTTTAAAAAGGAATCACTATTGCAAATTGGCTGTGAGAAATACCTGCCAGTTTCTTTGGCATAGCTCTACTAAGGGTTTTATGTAGAGGTAGTAGTTCTACCATTGTGACAGTGAGGCTTAGCCAGAGTAACTCTACGATACAACTGTATAAGAATTAGCAGCTGTTGCTTTGTACCAATCCATAATTGCATCAGAAGGGAATTATATAGTGAACAGTTCTAAATCCCATGTTACACATGATGCTGGTATGTTTGTATCATACCAAATTCTCCATTGCTTAGCTAAAAATAGTTTTGTTGCTGTTATTTGTGATGTATGTTTTTGTGAGAGTGTGCATTTATGTGTATCCACAACATTAATTAGTCATATCTATATTTCAACATTTTTATTATCCTTCTGTTGCTGCTCTTAGAAGAATGACATGCTGTACATTTGTGCAAATACTTAAGAGCAGTGGAATGTGTGTGTGTATGTGTGTGTGTATGTATATATATATATTTGTAAGTGTGTATATATATACATTGTCTGTGTGTATGAGAAACAGATGCACTGTAGGCAGATAAAGTAGATAAATATAGTTTCAAATAGAAGCATAAGTGTATAAATATAGACACTATATGGCGTGAAGACAGGCAGATCAGCACAGTTTCATTATTGCTTGTATTCTGTATAATAAAAGAGCAGCTGATATTAAAATGACTGACTGAATGACACTGTCAGATTGCAGAAGGCATAGTGTAAGGTAAGAAAATAACCTTTCTAGCAGTTTGAAGAGCAATTACTCAGGAAGGTTTAGCCTCTTTCATTATGGTTAATACAGTACTGTTTCCTGGATTTTATTTTTGCAGTCAGAAGCTAGAAGCAAAGCATGAATTCTTCTTCTGCCCTAAAATGAATTACTACATTAGTTAAATAATAATAGCAATTCTAGTTTTGTAACATGCTGGAGACTCCTCTGCTCCATTTCTTTAATTGTGGTAAGCTTCATCTGTTGTGATTTAAATTATTTGGCTTCTATTGCTGATGCAGAGAAGCTTGACCTACTGAGTTTAGGTGGCAATTGATAAAGGTAACAAGGCAGAAAATTCTTCATGGTTTAAGAGATTGTTCGCTCTGTGTTGTACACACTATCAGTACTATACTTTTCATATTTCAGAACTTCTGAATACATAGCTAGGCCTCAACTATAAATTTACTATGGGTTATTAATGTAAAATGGAATTGGACACAGATGATGCTAGAATACTTTCTCAAAGAAAATGCTACCTTCTTCACATTACTTTTTACTTGCTTCATTCTTTCCCTAGAAAACAGTGGTTAAAAAAAAAGAATGTGAATGTTGCCAACATTAAAAAAACAGTTTCTTTGTGATATGAAGTCTTATGTATCTAAAACAAATAGCTGTGTCCTATTTTTACTGGAATCACATGAGCAACAAGGACCTCATGGATCTGAATGTACAAGAGTCTTTTCTTGACAGTGGCCTTAAATGTTTTTAAAAGCTTAGACTAGATATTTAAAAGTACCTCTGAGACATTTGGACATGTGAGTCATTCCCAACTGAATTTCTGCATCAAACGAAAGAGCTTAATTTGAAATTTGGATTGAGAACCTAGCTTATTATAAAATCCAAAATAATTGTTCCCATCTCTGAGTTCCACCTTTGATTAGGAGTGCACATTGCATTCTTGTGTGCAGAAATCTCATTAATTTTGTAGCAGGCTTAGATTATCATTTTTTCTATTGAAAAATGAGGATGTTCATTCAGAACAAATCACTGGATTGGGAAAAATACATTATGTGTGCATGTGTGTGTGCATATTGTATTTATGGATGTACCACATTCTGATTCTTCACATTACCAATATGTATTGACATCTTATATATTGTTGAGTAATTCACTTTTATATGTAGGTTGAAAATAAATATGGAGTCCCTGCTTTAATTTAGGTTTGTTTGTTTTTTAATAGCTTCCCTTGTGTTATAAGAGATTTCAAGATGATGGACCTTTGGATATTCATTTGACTAACGGAAGTTGTTATGAGATAAAAAGGGTAAGTTATAAAATTAAGGGCCAACTTAGATCTTAGAGGACATATTGCTGTCCATTTTATTTTGTTTTTTGCTTTTCTTAAACTTGTGCAATTTGTAATGTCTTGCACTTTTACACCTGTAACTCTTATTAATGGCAGTTGCAGATGTGGATGACGAGATGCATAGTGAGATGATCTGTAGTCATTGTTTTTAGCAGAGATTACAAGAAAGATTTTATATACTTGTAAATGAAAACTTTTGAATAAAGAACATCGCTTACTTTTTAGTCTTTTTTTTTTACATTTCTATATTGTAGGAAACTCCAAAATGCAAGCAACCATAAACTTCCTTTATCCATTTCTTTATGAAACTCTATATTTAACAGATCAAAGTTTTCTTTTGCAAGTACAATATGCTATTTTCCTGAAAGTGTTAACTGCACATGAAAAGTCTTTTGTTTCTTGGATGAAATCCCTGTAAGGGAACTAAAGGAGAAAAGTGAAATGTGAACGTAGTTTTTAAATTTGTAGAGTTGTATAAAAGCAGTGACTGAAGGTGAGCATTCAGTATTCACCCTTTCCTTGCAATTTGAGCTTTTCTCCTTGATTTTGGTGGTGTATCAATTGACTCTGACTTGAGATACCTTGAGATAAACAGGTATATTTAGTGATAGAAAGAGTTCCTGTGGGAACCTACTTTGTTCATGTCTTGAATTGCTGAATTCAGTTTGCTTTATAAAATTCTCTATTTTGTTTCTTTTGAAGTCAATACAGAGTAGCTTATTGAGTCAAAGGATGACAAGAACCCTAGGTACATATTTGAGTATACCACTCAAAATGTGCATAAATCTGTAAAAAAAAACTTTCTGCTCTAGAAGCCGTAAGGTTTCTTAATGGGTAAAACAATGCATACTGCTTAAAACAAAGTTAATGCTAAATTTAGGGCAATTCTACGTAGTAATTTTCACTCTGCTTCCACTTTAGCAGCCCAAATCCTTCATAAACCAGTTTGAAGCTGACTTTTTATGTTCTTCACTCCTGGCCTCAAAATGTCAAAAGCAAGCAGGAACACCATGATCTCATCAGATCCCCAGACCCCTAGGAGAGATTAAAGAAATGGGACTCTACCCCATAAGTTGCCACACTTATCCTCATACTGTATGAAAGAAAAACTAATTTGGTGGGTCCTGATTCCAAACATATTTTCATTACATATTGTGTGTATTTTTCTGGATGTTTGCAAAAAAAATTATTGGAGAAAGCTATCCTATTTAAAGAAATTTCTGTTAAACATTTTCGGCTAGATATGATATTGGAGGATACTATGGTGATTTTTTTTGAAACAGTTCATTCTGTATATAGTGTCAGAGTCAAGAATTTGGTGAACCCTTTTGTTATAGATAGGGAAATGAAGTCAGCCATTTCACTGCAGAGCTGACTAGTGTTAAGGTTGGATTCAGTAATAAAGTACTGTATTTCTTCACTAGTACAGTTAGATTGCAAGGGGTAGCATGTGTCCAGAGACTTTGAGGCATGGTGATGCAACAGCCAATAGAAAAATAGACCAGAATAAACCCCAGGATTGCTACACCAACAATAACAAAAGTACAGTTTGCTCCAGTTTTAGATAAACCTGCACAGAGCCAAAAAATGTTGGATCATCCCTCAAAGTAAACTGACTTCATGGGAACTGGGAGTTCAGGGGCCAATCATGGAGCACATATATAAGTATTCTTATTCTTTGTCCTTTCAGATCAAGGTAATGAATTGCTCAAGCTATTCAGAATAAATGGTAGAACCAAGAATTATATGAAAGTGTTTTTTCCATCTTTTGGATTATGGCCTAAATTAACAGTTTCACATATTTTTCATGTTTACAACTATTTTACCTTTACTGGTTGGAACTATTTTTAAAAATATTTATGTAGATATGCAGAATTGTCATTAAGAATACAAACTGCTTTTTTGTAAGCTATCTGAAAGAACAAGACTATCTTTGAAACAACCTGTATATGGCTATTTTTCCATGGTTATTAGCTAGGATGGAGAAAAATTGATTATAATTAAGAAGTGGTTTATAACTCATTTAGAGAAGCCTATAGAAACGTACAGTGTGATGCAGTTACAAGTGGATGTTTACATACAGCTCATGCAGCCCAACTAGATATTTGTTCAACCAAGACATTGAGACTTATAGCAAAAGTGGCCATATTTGTAACCACTCGCCTGTTCTATATAGAGCTTTCATCAGAGTAATTTCAACCTTTTTAGCAATAGGACTCAA